CTACTCAGAGTACATTTAAACATTTTCAAAAAACACAATTATAACTATAATTATTATTTTCCGTTACGCTAGACAAAGTATATGTATTTATCTATTTGCATAGTATTATAATAGACAAATCCTGTCGGTTGCATTCTCGAAACAATTTTGAATTATCCAAGTATAAACACCGTGATTCCTCTTATCCCGTAGTCCCGGCGGCCTTTTTGACTGTCGAAAGTCAAAAGGGATCAGTGTCCACTTGGCCAACGTCAAGGGTATTTGTTAAGTTAAGCCTACATAACATAGCTATTTTTACATCACATAGTCAAGTTGAGCTGATTATATGCGCGGGATAATTATTCAGGCACGTAAAGTGCATATTATATGTGATGTGTTTGATGTTCGCAAAAAAAAAAAAAAAACAGCGTGCTTTTGGAATAATAATTAGTCAGCCATCTTTGCAGAAAATATTAATATAATATTTTAATATTATTCTATTAGCGTCATTGGATATAATTTCACGAATTTTTAATTAAATTGCAGTAGTCAATATAATTTGACTTATTTTAATAATAATACATTTTATTGAAGAGCGAATTTCAGCTGCATTTGGACGTAATATTTGTATGTCTTCGGTGATCGCCATATACATGCCAAAATGTAACAATGAACGACATAATTTAATTTATGTGCCTACCGTAAACAATGAAAAGTCTTCGCAAACGATAAAAGCGATTCAGTTTATTATGCTATTAGTCGCGTTTTTCTCCATAATTATTGTCAACGTAACGAAAACAATCAATGGAAATTAAGAGAAAAGAAAAACTGTTACCGCTGATAGCTGCGTCACTATTATAGGTGGAAATTTAAAACGTAAGATACATCAAATTATGCAATTTATACCTGTGTGCAGTGACAAATCATTGGTAACGAAATAATATTTTGAATGAAGTTAGATTATAAATATTTTGAAATTTCGTAATTTTTACGACTTTTGTAAAAGTTTAAATTTGAAACGCTTATAAAAAAACTTACTAAATTATGTTCTTTTTCTTTACCACTAACTATAACTTGGGTTAAACCTCATGTAAAATGATCAAGCATTTCTGATAGTCCAACTCAATTTTATCTAAAAATCTTTATAATTAATTATTCACCTTTATTATTATTATTCAATTTTGTAACTTAACAAATTTGAAAACATCAAATGCCAAAAAGTAGGTAGCGTAAAAACCGTTTCACTGTTTTAAAATTTGTATCACCTTTGGAAAAGACGAGTACACTGTTCTGTGAATATTACAGATCTATATACGATTACATTTAACCGAATTATAACAAAATAACAAAATTCAAAATAATGAAACCATTGCTCGTTGTTTCTTTAAACTTTTTCTTTTGTCTTACACGTTTTCACGGTAAGAAAAGTAATTGATAAATCGAAAATAACGTCCTGTACTCACTAACTAGATCCGAAACTCTATAAAAAAAAAGCAATAGGGCTTTTTGTTTTTGTTTAGAGCGATATTTTTGGCAGAAAAGTTTTAAATGGACAAAAATAAAAACAGAAAAATGAAAAATTTACACATTTTATCGTAAAACCAAATTAATTTCTCACTGCCCTCAGAATCTAATAAACAAAAAAAAATCTAGTGGATGTACTGCTGGAAATAACAACAATAATGTTTCAAATAAAGTACCGCCGGGCAGTAATTCCACATCCTCTGAGGTGCACGTGTGATAAAATTGAAGAACTTGTCTAACTAAAAAAGTTCTTTCCAAAAAAAAAAAAAAAAACACTCAACTTAGTAAAACGTAATAGCTTCTTCAAAAAAAATCTATAGTAACCGGTTTAAAAAAAAAAAAAAATTATAGTATATTCACTGGATTTCATTATTGTCTGAGCTGTTTTCATTTATTTTTTTCACTCTGCAAGTAAGCGAATAACATAACAAATTATATAATAAAATATAAATAATAAAATAATGATAAACAAATAATTTCATATTATCTTTTGAAAAACAACAAATAAGTTTAAAGTATCAAAGGTCGTTGAGCATTTTATTATTAACAATATTCATATAATGTATATCGATTTGGTCGCATGCAAATATTGCCGTTATCAATGATATTCTGATAAAATTTTAATTTTAATTAAAATAGATTTAGGTATACAATAAGAATCGTTTCATTAATATTATAAAATACCGTGGATCATCATATTTCAGTTTGTCAAATTACCGACCAAAAGTACTCAAAGATCGTGATTAACGGGATTTAATATTGACTGATCTTTAATAATTTTTTAACCAATATGGTATGTTGTTTTTATTTTCATTTAATCGTATTATTTTACAGGGTGAATTATCATTTATTTATTTTTTTATTTTTTTTTTTCATCATAATTCAGCGATTCATCGGAGAATTTTTAATTTTGAATTTCATTTATTTTATTCATTATGGAATTTTTTTTCAAGCTTTATTTTAACACAACTCCTCATGCATTAAATTAGTAGATATTTCACTTTGAATGTCAACAAATATTTTTCCCCCGCCTCCTTTTCTATACACAGACTCTTCATAAAAATAATATTTCTGAACATTTTTATAATATGCATAACTTTCAAATGAAATTTGATTTACAGACGATGATTTTACCGATGTTTAAAATTTATAACGGAGGAATAGTAGTGAAATGAATTTCGTAAAAAAAAAAAAATATTTTTGAATATAATGTAAAAAGTGTAGTGGTAGCTGCTATTTAAAATAAAAAATTAAAATAATTCTAAGTAGTCAGGTAGTCTAAAATAATTGTCTCGGTACGAAATATGGGTAAAATTGTAAAAATATTGTAAATAAGATTATGTAATAAGTGAAAAAAGTAAAATAAATTTTACTTATTATTTTTACATACAAACGCTGGATCGTGATGAAAACAAAAACTGAATAAAAAAAATTGTTTATGAAATATCATTTATCAATTGACACAATTATAAAACAACGCTGTAAATTAATGTCTTCCGTAAGAGATTTGTTTAATAAGTGATATCCATATTATACACGTTATACAAAATATTACATTCCCTTGTCTATAACATTGGGTTACACGGTTTTTTATTCATAACGATAATTAATTGCCAAAGCTGCTGATTAATTAATAATAATAAAATGCCTTGTGTGATAAGTAATAACTATACTTATTCTTTACTTAACGCAAATGGGTGTACACGAACAAGTGAATTATCAAATCCTTATTTAAAATTTAAAAAAAAAAAAAAATTGTTTGAATTTAAACATGAAATAGGTACAACAATATATGTTAATTAATGGATTTTTATTTAATTTAACATTTTTTATTTGGTACTTACAGTTAGAATTATATACACAAAAAAACAATAATAATAATAATAAAAATTTGGAATTCCAAATAAACTTTATGAAATTACTTATTTCGTTGTATTTTTTTTTATTATTATTATTATTTGGCATGAATATTTTATGTTAACTTATGATTAATAATTAAAACACGTTTTCAGTAAATTCACGTTAGTACTTAAACAGTTCTCTCTTTTTCGAGTAAATAATTAAATAATTTACCATTTTGGCATCTACACATTTTTTTTAAATTAAATATTTCTATGTACGTAGTCTCCGATGCAATCTTTTTTTGAAATGTGTAATTTCAATGTATTTGTTAATTCTTTATTGAACTAATAGCTATTTTTACTAAACAAATACATTTATTTAATATACAATATACGAGTATTGTGTAAAGAAGATATAAACTTATGCGCAATAATTATTTGCGTTTTGGTACAAAATAAAAATCATTTAATCTACCAAAAAGTAATAGTGGTGGATAACAAGAGGTTTACATTGCGATTGTATACTCCCCTCCTTTTTTACTTATTTTAAAAAGAAGTTGAAAAAGTACGTTTCCACTCAAAAAAAGATAAAATGATACTGCTCATGAGTAAACCACTGTAGGTCAAGATGTTAAGATGGTATGATATAGTATAGGGTAATTTAATTTAAATACTGGAAGCAACGATAAATCGTTTTAAACAAAAAGCGATTGTCAGTGTAGTTTGGTTGAATACGTTTCTGTTTTTTGGTTTAATTTAAATTTAAAATAGTACTCATTTGTCACCACGAAATAATTTACCAATTAATAATTATGTAATTAGACAATAGAGATATTTTACTTTTTATCAGATTAAATCCTGTCAGGTTTTACTTATTGAATTAATATATGTATATACGGGTATACTTAATTTAATTAAAATTAGGTTGATAAATGCACATTGATATTGAACTTTTTACATTATTTTATTTCAGATTTCAACATTAGAGGAGTACCATGATTTTAGCTACTATAAAATTGGTGAAAGAAAATGCTTCCTAGTTCCACATTTTGACAAGATAAGGTACCTGAATTTTCATTCGGTAAGTTTAATAATATTTTAAGAACAGAGCCAGACTTTAAATTGTTAAAATTTGTCACTTTATCGTATAGGTGCGCTAGTAGGCGGCCGTCTGTGGTACTATTTATATATTGAAAATACTATGGTGTACCTATATGATTTGTACGTAGTTGGAATATTCGATTATTTTATCGTAACTAAAACGTCTAAATATACTACGCGTAAACTTAAAAAACAATAATACGTTTATTGGGTTATCTCTTTAAATATACTATACATTTTGTTTGAATAGTCATTAATGTCAACATTTAAAGTTATCGACATTTTTATTGTTTCATCACTGAAAGTACAAAATAAGATAAACATGACTGGAAACGAGCAATGATGTCATAGATAGGAAAAGGTAGGAACATTTCCGGTGTACATGTGAAACCTTTTCATAATGTTACCCAGCGTCGTTTTAGCAGAAAGTTTTGGAACTTAGTTATAGTAGCACTAATAAAAATATACGCTATGACAGCACTGGCGCTTATAATGGGAAAACAGCTCGTCCTTCATCAACACATTTTTGTTGCCAGTCCATCCATGTCCCTTCTGTCCGACGTTTTCAGTCCTATAAATCTTAGTAAGTGGGTGAAAGTGAATCTGTTCCACCGTCTTAATATAACATTCTTAACAAACTGTTAGGTAATTAATTTGATATTTTTGAACAATATATCTACTAAAAACATCGAAATAAAGACTAAACTATATATTTTTGAATATAATTTTATAGAATTTGTGTATACAAGTTTGTTTGGCTTAAAATGTCTGAAAGTTAGTCTCGAAAATACCGGCAAACTAAATTGTACATTCAAAAAACTTTGTGTTCTATAGTTCCAAATATTTGCAGAGTTTATTCATCTTATGCAAGTGAAATACGTTCAGAAGGTTCGGTTCAATTTTGAAAATTAAAATTGGGTACTTTGTTGAAATGTAAAAGTGTGTAAGCGAAGACCTTTCGATAAACTATTTCGGTAATGAACATTATGCGAGTATAAGCGTCTTTAAAATATAATATAATGTAATAATGTTGTAACGTTAAACACAAAAATAATATCTTCGAGAGTTAAACATTATGTTTTTTTTTTTTTTTTTGTACGCACTGTTCCAAAATAATCTTGAAAATTATTGTGTTATAAAAGATCGATTAAAATCGTTTTAGTTTTAACATAAAATTTTGAAAATAATTTATTAATTTATTCTTTTGGCTAATTTTTTACAATAGATATTTGTTTTCCATCGGACACGAACACGTCGTAATACCTTCATAGTTTTATAAAAACCGATAACAAAATTTAACGATTTTTAATAAATGCAACTGCATTTTAATCATAACTCTAGTAAAAGAATTCTGATGTTTAAAACCTACCAACTAGATTATGTACCGTCTTAGTATAACGTCCTGTTGCAACATCCCTTATTTATCGCACTTTTGTGTTGATTTATATTCTTCGGAAAAAAAATAAAAAGTAGATATAATAATATATTAATGATGAATTGGGTACTATACCACAGTTTTCGTATATTATACCAAGATAATAATATTTACGAAGTATCACTTGAATTCCGTTAATTTTCCCTTGTGTTTTAGTGTAGGGTATTATGTTCGTCGAAATGCATAAACCTTAAAATAATAATTTAAACTTAATATTATAAAATGTTCATTGTTAAAGTTAAATGATAAAATATAAAACCATAATGGACACGTGTAGGTAGTAGTAGTTTCTAGTAGTTGCAAGTAGTTGCTAGTAATTGCAGGCAGACAATCGAATTTAAATTTGCATTTCTCCTCTGCAGGTATCTACCTACAGATATTGCTGCAGTGGTGTAAATTACATTAGTTAAATCCTAATTTATTTGGGGAAAGACTCAGGGCCAGACGCAAATCTGACTCTAAATTTTGAATACGAAATAATAATAATATATGCATAGGGTTCATGACATAACTACAAATATATTAATTTTAACAATTTAATTAATACAGTTATTATAATTTCAAAAGGAATTATTATTATACACTAAAACGCATGCAGCCAGTATAATAAAACATAATAATTCTCTATAGAAACCGTGATATATATTTAACGAATTTTGATTACAATATAAATTACATAGTTTTAAACAGGGTTTTTTTTTTTTTTTTAATTTTTATTATTCAGCTAAATGCGTCTACCTTATAAATAATAAGGTGGTTTTCGATACAACATGTTTGGTTACAGCTACTTTACTACAAGAATTAAGGTTTAATAATTTATGATAATCAAATAAGGTTTTCACGACGTTCTAAAAATCGTGTATAATACCTATATCCCGTGAGCATATATAAAATGTTAATAATAAATGCGTACGCTACAATTGGTTTATATATATATTGTAAATTTCAATGTTATTGAATCTGAAAGGTATATCAAACAAAGTTGATTTTTTAAGAAAGAAATGTAGAGACGGTACGAAAATCTATTTGTATTTTTCAAGGAGAAAATTCAATTGCAAAGTGTTATAACTACGCACAAGTGTACACTGTACACGCCGAAATGCTTCAAAATTTAGAACAAACGTGATATTTTCCCAAAATCCGACTCGTGGCATTCAAAATGATACCTATATTATTTTTAATTGGTTAATTAAAAAATAAAATGAATCTCAGGTACTTTTCAAGTGCCTATAGATTTACATCGGTGCAGTTATTTCTCAATACCTATGTGAATATTTTTTGAAAAATATTTTTTTTTATTTTTTCACACGCAAATGATACCAAACCTGAATAACGTAAACTACAAATTAATATAGATAGCTACGAAACAATTAATTAGTTTGATATCCACTTATTATTATAACTCAAATAAGTACCTATGTCAATAATAATTATAATAGGAAACATAATACGGTGTTTTTAGAAGCTTGGTTATCGTATTTACTAACTGTGCATCGAATATAAAATAAAATAAATTTTACAAAAAAATAATTAGCGATAATATTATGTGGATGATTCATGTATTTATCTCCTTTTCACCCTATACAATGTTACTTTAGTAAAAGAACGGTTTCTTGCTACACAAATTCACAATATTTATGTATATACATTTTAGTTGGCATTTTTTGGCATCTGTATATAACAATGTAACAGTTTAAGCTATAAATACATTTTTAAAAGTCATTGATTTAAATTTCGTATTTAAAAAAACTATTTTACATTTTTAAGTAAATTTCTTTGATTATTAGTGGGAAGTTTTGGTTGTGATTAAATTTACGATGTACACATTTGCGTGTTCGACTTCAAAAACGTTTACAGACAAACGCCCATATATATTATACCATTGAAATACCCATATAATTAACAATATTGCGTTGACATTGTTAACGGACATTTTTATAGTCTGTTTTCAATAGTTAACAAATAATTGACATTCAAGTACAAAGGTTAAAAGATACATTTAAATTTCAACACTAACCACTTTAAATTGCTATTTTAAACATGCCAAGAGCAAAATAAGCTGTAAGTACTTAGTCAATTACGTAGTTTTTTAAGTCAATTATTCGGAAATAGTATTTATATTCTGAGCGGAGCGAGGAATGTTTTAATTTTGCAATGTTGTTTAGTTTAATTTATTTTCCCTTGGTCGTTTTTTTACTTTTTAAGTGATCAAATCATTTTTTTTTTTTTTTTGGTAATTAAAGCACTTTTCGTCTTGTAATTTTTAGCACTTTTTAGATCACCGACATCTTATCACTAATAATAATAATATATAGTAAAACTGGGAAAAATATAAACTTCATACTTTTCTGGTAGAAAATGCCCTTACAGACAAAAAATAATAATAATAATACAAATCGCGCACATCACGGTAAAACACTCGTTTCACCAGTAATCGGTGTGCTCAGAATCTCAAGTACAGAGTAGACGAATGAAAACGCAATGCTAGTCTACTAGTTTTTTAAAAGAAAAAAAAAACAACAAAAACCGAAACAAACGTTATCGCGTTAACAATAACCCCGTGGGCCACGGAGCATTCTGTATAATATTTGTTATTATGTACCTGTACATGTGTACGCACGATACGTAACAGCTGCCTCGGTTTAAAATTATTACCACGGGGTCCTTGCATTAACAGTCGTACCGAAATAACAAACAATTCATAATTATAGAGCGAAACGTGTTAATTTTCTCGGATATATTATTATTGTTATGATCCGATAACGTCTCATTATTGCGTGATTTACCTATCCCCGTTTCCGTGAAATACAGCGGCGAACAATAATGCACAGCAATATTACGATTTTCATCTCGGATATGGCACGAGACCAAAAGTTAGACAACCGGCGTGTGAATAGGTATGGGTAGTATACATATACATGTATATTACGTGTATGCATGTTAAGTGTCGTGTTTATTACGGTTTAGGCAAAGGTATTATGACATGGGCGTGTTGGAAAAGTGATATACATAATCGCGTTTCCAAAAAAGTTTTTAGACCCGCGCACTTTCGATATAATTGTTGTATGCGTACACGTAGGTGTACGTATACTTGTACCTGAGGCCAAACGAGGAAATACTATACCGGCAATTAATATTATTATTATTATTATTGCAATCTCCTAATTACTTTCCGGGCAATAAATTCAAACGTAAACTTCACTTATACCCCGCACCTAATCATTATAACCGTTAAGTCTGTATAAATCTCACCGCGGCGCACAAGCGCCGACTTGTTTCGCGCTATTATAATAACTATTTGTACTGTGCATCTCGTTCGCGATGACGGTATGTTTTTCATTTCGAGGTTATTCAGAAGGAACCCAGAAACCGAAATTAAAAGAAAAAAAAATCAAATAAGTACGAGTATATACAATTCAGGCGAGATTTAAAAATACTATGAAAATTGAAATTAAATTAAATGGTCGAGATGTTGTCGTATACGTCCTGAAAACCCGCCTTTATTTAAAATTTCAGTTTTCCTCGCACTACTGGCATATATATTTTTTTTTTTCATAACAATGCAATCGAAAACATTCCCCTTTGTTCTACCAGTTTTTTTTTTTCGGTATTACAAAAAAAAACCCGGGCAACTTCGCACGTGGATGCAGCCGGTACAGGTACTGTTGTAGGTGAGAAATCGGTATGGTAGTAGAGGGAAAATTTATTTTTTGTCTGTAAACAACGAAAAACCATTGCTGACGAAAAATCGATTCTGAGTGGAGTTCAGTCAATAGTAAAATTATATACTATAATTAATATTATAGTAAAATAATTATGTAGGCATTATATATTTTCTATAATAATATTTGTTTAATATTATACCTATTTTCCCATTATTCCCATGTTTTTCCCATTTTTTCCCATTTATTGGAAAAACAAATGAGAAAATCAAAAAAACTGACACCTGTAAAGTACATCCCAAGTCAGAAAAGTTGCGACACTTAAAAATCGGAACAAGATTTCTGGTAGAAAATTTGTCCACAGATATAAAAAAAAAAAAAATTAAAATAAACATCTTTTTAAAGCTATAAACTTCTTCGCTCCATTTAGAATCTAAAATCGGGTGATNGGAATAAAAAATATAATGATATATTGAAGCTCCAACTTTTTAGATCAAAAACCAAAATATTAATTATGACGGTGATCGAAATTAATCTAGTCAAAATCGCGTTAACGAATCAAGGAAAAAAGAATAATTGTCTTAGAAACGCTCAGAATTTAAACATAATCATGATTACAAATGGTTAATTCTTCTAATATCGTTATGATTTATCGATTAATTAATTTGTATGTGTTCAATACTATATACAAAAGTTCGACTCGTTAATAATAAATAGCTTTATAATTAAATAATTTAGTATTTACATAGTTACATTACCGCAATGCTCAATGTTATGTTTTATCTGGATAGATTTATATTGTCCAGATAAACGGGAAATAAGTTGTCTGAGATATTTAAATAAAAAAATAAATTATATTATGCCCTTCACAATATGACAAATCATGGACACCGGTCGTGTGTCAGCTTCATGATAAATAATATTTTATTTCTATACAAAAATCTAAACCTATTTTTTGAAACTAAATCGTGTAACTGTTTCTCTAATATCTCTTTATCATGCCTAAACACGAACGCATCACTTCAGAAACAGTGTTGTATTTTATCTAGATTTTCAATATAAATTTATTAGATTTCAATTGATAAATGCTAATTAAATTAAATATATATTTATATATATTTAGATCAATCGTTATTTGTATATTAATTAGAAATCTTTTGGAAGTATAACGTGCAATATATAATCCATGTTTATTGGTGAAAGAAATCGATTCATCAATAAATTGTTTCATCGTGTCACACAACCGATTAGAAATTTAAATGTGTACCTACACAATTTAGTATAGTGGTATTGAATAAAACTGTCTTCCATGTGTAACTTAAAAAAAAAAAAAGTTTCCAAATATTTATCTCTGTCTAGATATCATAAACCTTAGTTTTATATTATACTATTACCAATACTATAATATTACATAAATCTAATGAAAAATGCGTTGGATCTTAGTTCAAATGTATAGTGAACTAATTGAATCACGTCGGTTTTATTATACTTTTTTTGAATTACGTCAGACATAATATTATAACATTATTTCTTAGTAAATGATGGTGGAAAAAAAAATGTAACTTAAAAAAAAAAATTATCTTTTTCGTTCGAATAATGATTATTAATATTACGCGAAAATATAATAATATTTAAAAAAAAGAGCCAAAACAGTCGCCATAATTACACGTAATTTTGATTAATTATATTTTAGGAAGTAGCAACTAGGTAGTTGTTTTAATTTTTTTTCTAAAGGAAAATTAAATTTAAAAAAAATACCGTTTTCATATAATACAATATACCTAGTAACACGATGTTAACCTTTTTAGTGTTCGATTATTTTAATATTTTTTTTCGAGCTTCAATGTGGATACCGGAATCGACATTTAACCTATATTTGAACCGTCATGCCGTATCTGTTGGATGGCTGCCGATCGACAATAATGTAGTCTGAACATCTGACGATTCGGTCGGGATAACTGTACGCCAGCACCTATAAAGGATCTCTATTTAGACGTTATCGCCGTCGATTTTACACGGTACGACCAGGAAAAGTTTTTGGAACGGATTACCCCAATGAACACAGTGTACTTTGTGGAAACGCTGAACACTAGTTTGCCAATACCGTTAGTCACCGGCATGCCCGACGGCGAATATTGGCACCGGCGGTTTGACGATACGTGGCCAAACTTCGTCCGTACGGCGTGAGACACGCTGGTGACCGGCTCTTACAAAACTTTTTACTTAACCAAATACGTATCGGAAATCATCGAAAACTTAGAACCCGACGAGGGCGTGGGAAAGGACAAACTCACCGGACTGTCAGATGCCTGTAGCAGCCCTTACGTACACTGTAAACAGTTGTGTTTTCCGGGAAAAAAAAAAAAAAAAAAAAAATTAAATAAATAAATAAATAATTAGGACCCCATGCACGTAGTACCCAGACTCGTGTTCAACCATTTGAAAAACATTCAGCGCACGAATCTGGTGTACTGTCCTAAGACGTTCACCATGGATAGATAGTGTTTTGTTGTATTCGGGAGAGGGGAAAGTTAAGGTAAACGTTATAACTGGTCTAGAACTGCATGCATGTACAAAGTTTCAGATCAAACCGTTCGGTAATAATTTTGGTATGAATGTACAACAAACGTCCATCCAAATAAATTTTCGTATTTATAATATTAATATTAAAATGCGATAAAATAATAATAATATTATAAACCGTTAAATTCTAATAAAATATTGCCATATTCATTCGCAATAAACGTGACAAATGTGAGTAAAATCGAAATTTTATATGAACAACATAGTCGACGACGGCGGTGCCAAATATTTATCCTCCGTTTGAGCGTCAGGAATTCAACCTCTTACTAATATCCGGGTCAGAAATTGTAATATTTCCAAGATCGGAGACATAAATATATCGTTCGATCGTTAAAATATGATTGTGAATTCCGTGCCATGGAAATATATAGTAATCCATTTGCTTTGGACGTGGCTATTGCTTTCCACGAGATAATGTTGAAAACGAATTTTAATATTGCGTACCTGTCCATTCAAAATTGCAACTTCCCGAAGACGATATCCATTGTCTTTAACACAGATGCGCATTACAATAGATACGACAAACGGTCTGAGAACTGCGTGGACATAATTGATTTGTACGATGCCGTTGGAAACGTGTATAGTTTACAAGACGAAGGAGATTGTCAAGAATTGGAATAGAGAATCGTGAATGAACCTGATTATTGATGATATTATTGTAATTGAATAATATATATATGTATAATATCCTGACCAAAATGATATTACGCAAGTATCAATGCAATATTTATGATACATTTTAGATCCCGAGCGTAGCGTGGGAGCTATGGTTTTACAATGCTGTTTATTATTATTATTTTTTTTGTTCTTTGTTCTAGTATGTGCACACGTTTTTTCCTAGTATACTTGCTCCGCTTTTTACGTGCAGCGACTTTCATGAGTTCTCAAGTTAACTAGATGGTACTTTGAAGAAGTCATTTTTTCGATTTTCGACGTCATTTTTAAATAAAATCACTTACGTGGAAAAAAAACGTTAGAAAGACGTACAATTTTACGATTTAATTATTACGTAAAAACACGGACGACGTTTTCTACCAGAAAAAATGATTTTATCGAAAATTACAAGAAACTTTTTTTTGCTGTCTTTTTGATTTAATTTTTAACGGTATCATCGCCAAAACTTTTGAGCTTTTAAGGAATTTTAATTTTTGGGAGATTTTTGCTTTAATTCGACTATAAATACACGTAAAGACTTGGTAATAATATTTATATTGGACCTCCCTAGACGTGATAAAATGTCTAAAATCATAGGACGACTTTTTTTTTTTTTTAATAAGCGTTTTGAAATCAAATTTAAACGAAAATCCCCCAAAAAATAATAACGACACATCAAACTATGTATGACCAAACTGCGCTCGAAATCGTCTTTCATCAAGCAATGGTTCATCGTTGCTTACAGATATAAATGTAGCAACCTTATATCCTATCCTACCCTCCCAACTTCTCACCCACAACAGTGGTCGCTCCCATCCTCAGTAATTAGCTCTTTATTTAAAATATTTCCATACAAATGTTTCTGTGTATAATTATAATATTATTCATGGTACATATAGTGCGTACATAAATACTTTATGTCGGAAGCGAAATAAACCCGATAAACTGGAAAGCAACAGATTTATTATTATACAACAATCTACTCGCCCACCAATATTTGTTCAACATCTGTAATACTTATATCCCAATATATGTTTACTTAATTAGTATTAAATGAGTATTAATATTTAGTTGTATTCACATTGAGCACGCACCCACCTTTAAATCCTAAACAAAATCGCGGTGCGTTATCTTATTCGAAAAAATGGAATTATGAGCAATTTTCTGACAATAATAATGATAATTAATAATTATCTAGGTAAATAATTCAAAAAAGTTATTATGATCTCAATATTATTTATTGTAAATAATAGGGGGTAAATGTGACTTTAGTTACCTAGTGTTAATATGACTTATGTATCATGATTTATAGGTTCAATAGCTTATCAACCACAAAATATTTTTGAAATCAAGATGATATGTACATTGTCTGTTACAGTTTTAGCACGTAATAGTTTTATGACAAGGAATGAAAACAGTTTACTTATTTTATCTAAAAAACACGTTGGTAATTATTTATCTCTAAAGTTAAATTGTTAATCTTTTACATACATCTAGGTATAATTGTTTTCTCTGTCTAGATATTTTTAAATTTATCGTTTTGTTTTTTTTTTATTTCTGTATACAAAAGTATAGAACGTAGTACATGCACTTACGAGCCCTGTTTTTGACCTTAAATAAGAAACACAAATTTTATAACGCAAACGTTTGTTCGACCCAAAACCTAAAAAATCGATAAATGAAAAACTAATTAGTTATACGTACAACTAATTTTTATTTTATCGTATACTTATGTGTTTGCTTTACGCAGTTTGGTTTAAACTATATACTATATATTACCATCAAAGTGATATACTATGTTTTCTGTTCCCCACGAAGTTGGCACGTACAGCTAATGGGTGGCCCGGGGTATAGTACGACGGTTACCCTTAATATTTCACGGGCTACTTCGCTGACCGCCCAGATATATCAAACCTCGAGTCGTCCGAAAAAAAAAAAAAAAAAAACGATTGTGCTAAGAAAAATTTTATTTTATTTTTTTCATACTCTTGATAATTAAGCGTACACTATACGATTACGTTTTTCCGTTGTTAAACCACGCATTACCCTTTAGATTTGGAAATTCACTATATCATAACCCGCTTATTCTGCGGTAGGCTGTTTACACATCAATTACGAGGCGTCTCGCGATTTTATCTGCGAATTAATTCGTAATTGATAGCTGATATTTTTTGTGTATTACAATTTTTTGATTGACGGAAGAAATAACATTGCGCGCACCAGTACTATACAGCTCGGAACTGTATATAGCTGAGAATGGAAAAAAAATCGTACCACCGGTTAGGCCGGGCACGCGCTTATATAATATTCCTGGCCGGGTGCCTTCCACGAATACAAGGTACTCGCGAGTTCCAACAAATAGTTGGTACAACTAATGGATTCTGCGTTATGCGGATACCGTATTGTAAGTTAGTTAATGCTCCCGGAGACATCATTATATTTTTTTATCGTGTTATGGACGTGTTGCGAAGAAGTCATCGTCGAACATACAAACAACGTTATTTACGAATTATATACATTTATGGCAATGCTATTTGTTTTTGTTTTGCTAAAATAAGAAGGAATATAACGGAGTCTCCGTCTATTGCCTGTGTATCCCTGTTATAGCCATTCGTCTAAATTTTATTTGCAAACAGTGTTTTTTTTTTTTTTTTTTTTCTAATTCGATAAGAGTTTATTGTCGTATTCATCTACATTGATAAATTATTCACTGGCCGATAGGTATCAATTGTTACAAAAACATAGATGGCATAGGATGGCCACAGAGAGAGGAAAAATGAAATACCAATTAGTTTTTCATTCGATAATGTTCTTATAAGACATTGAATTCAAACTGAGTACAATGCAAATATGGTTTAGCTTTGAATTATTTTATATGAATGAATGTTTATAGATTAAATATAATATCAATAGACAATTTTTTTAAGACGGTCATAGGTAGCGAATCTTCCATGCATAAACCACGTGGATAGTATTTTAGTTTCTGAGCGGATGTATTGGTTTTACAATGTTGTTTATTTTATTTTTTTATTTTTTTTTTTTTTTTTTTTTTTGTAAGCAACTTTTCTACCAGACATTTTGCTCCGATTTTCAAGTGTATTACCTTTTCTGAAAAGAAATTTAACTGAAATCGTCATTTAAGAAAGTTTTTTTTTATTTTCCCAGGGGTTTTCATAATAAATAAAAAGAACTGAGAAAATTTACGAAAGGTATTATTTTCAAATCGTAAATATTACGGCTTTTAAAAACTTGTAAAACCGAACTCCGATCAAAATCGTTTTTCGTTCGCAACGATTAATCTTTGCGTACCTACAGATAAATATTAAATTTCACCTACAAGAGTAGACCACCCATCGTGCGAAGTATGTTCAATTGTTTTTTTTATACGTTCATTAGTTATATTTATTGCTAGCTGTCCTATGCCCGGCCTTGCCTGTGCTAATTTGTATTATATTTTTTTTTGGTTTCCGTATTCAATTTTGGTTTTGGCCGTATCAGAATTTAATGAAAACAAAAAGATGGGAAGTGGTTAGTCCACCTTCGGTGAAATAAATGTGTTCTATTGTGAAAATTTAATAGTATAAATAATAGTAGGTAATAATAATAATTGCAATAGTTTTCTTATCCGCGCGTGACAACCAAATATTCAATCATGGTATGTCATTATATATATAAATAGAAGATAATTATGAAAAAAAATTAACTTCTATCATTTTCGGTGAGCTACTGGAGTGTAAAACAAATCACGTGCATGCGGGAATGTATTGTTTTTGACGTCCGGGTAAAAACAACTGCTACAATACGTGTTAAGACAATCGACGCCATTAACCGTTCCGAAATGCAAAAGCTCAGTTTCCGTGTAATGTTATAAACTTAACATTTAGCGAATATTCTCCTTATATTCAGCGAGTCGTGCCCGGCCATATTTCCGGCCACTCCCCGCCCTCCCATCCACCAAATGACCCGGCTGACCCGTTAGGTTTCCCTAGGTCACAATATAATAATAATAATAATATTATTATTTTGCTTGTGAAATAATATTCAACTACTATTAGCGGCAAGTTTTCCGGGGTTTTAACACAACCGATGCAGTGCTGCTGTTGCTGTTGCGGAGTAACATGTGCCGACGGTCGGTTTTGGACAGGCGATTCAATTACAGACGGCGGGGCCGATTTCCCGTGTAGCGGATGCTGAACTCGACTATAATTTTCCCCCGACCACAATGCTTAATATCGTTCCGGGATATATGTCTCCGGGTCCTTAACGCTGTATTATAATAATAATAATTATCACCGTCATCATCGTCGTGTTTATTCGGTTTGCTCGTAGCTGCGGCAACACTCAATTATGAAATTAATTTTGACGAGTGCTAGCTGCGGTGCAATATATACATAGAATAATGTAATACGATACCGATTTTAACGAAATTGACTGAATTAAACATGAGCGTGCAATAAAATCTATTATATGCCATGATACGGTCACGGGGCCACGAACTATAGATGTTTTGGTATAGATGTCGTGTTTGGCCCAATTTGGTATTGATTTTCTTACGAAAAATTAATGGCAATGTTGCAGGTATAAAGAAAAATTTCAAAATATCTAGATAGGATTTTTAAAACGATATTATCTAGACGAAGAAAAATTATTATTTATCTACAATAAAATTTGAATATAGAAGAATATAAACAATAAAATCAATGTGTTTATCTAGGTTTTAAAAACAAAAAAAAATTGTTTTATTATTACTTACAATAAAACCAAGTGCCCAACGTGTACCAAATAAAATATTGTATACATTTATATCTCAAAAAGAACTTTTAATTGATGTAACTTAATAATTACTTTAAAAACATATAAACAACACAAAATGTAAGTTTTTACGAAATATATCACCATCATTATTGATATTATAAATTATACGATTTGTAGGTATTTTGTGCTCTTGAAGCTATAATATTATTATAATCATAACGTTGCATACTGTAAAATATCGTTACTAGAATTTTTCATACATCATATCTACACAAACATATTCGACATGTATTATTTATTTTTAGATTTTTAGTGTAGCGAAGAAGCTTATGGTTTTACAAAGATGTTTATTATTATTTTTTTTTAATCTGTGCACATTTTTTCTACTACAAATCTTGCTCCCGTGTTTAAGTGGAGCACCTTTACTGAAAGGAAATCAAATTGGGGAGGTACGTAAAAGAGGTCAGTTTTCATTTTTCTCAAGAGTTTTCCGGGAAATTCATATGAAAATCAGGAATATCGGTAATATATTAAACAAGTATTAATAAAAAAAAAAATAGGTACAAAGCATATTTAATTAATAAATAGGTTTTATTTAAAATATATTACCGCCTTATTTTTTTCTGCGTACAACTTTTCTATCAGCATTTTTGCTCCAACCTATAATGATAACAATATTTCTAATAGGAAATTTCGATAGGGAGGTACTTTAAAGAGGTAATTTTTCGATTTTCCCAAGTGTCTTCCAGACAAATTTGAAAAACCGGGAAAAAACGTAGGAAAACTGGAAAAATCGGTACAACATTAAACAAATATTATTTAACAAAATACAACCTATTTAATTATTTTGCTATAATATGACATATATATTTTTGAAAAAGCATCACTATCAACTAAACTCGGCCTAGAATTGTTTTTTCGTAAGTAATGGTTTATTGTTGTTTACAGGTATACATTAAATTAGCTATAACAGTGGCTGCACCGGTAACTCCATTATCTTAGAACATCTTTTTTTAACTATTGAATTTTTATATTTAAGAAAGATTTATAAACGATAAGTATAAGAATAAATCACGATCATGAACATGGTGTTTCTTGATTGTTATTGTATTTAAACGAAATAAAATAAATTAACTTCACACAACAAAGTACCTAAACGTTATAATGTTTTGCTCTCAGAAGTTATATCGCAATACCAATATAGTATATTTTGTTCCCTCTAGCGTTAAATTTCAAACTATACAGTAGAATGTAGAAATTCATCACAGAAGATTAACCCCAATTTCTGTATATATGATTTAGTTACAGGAATAGAAGTCTCGGGAGCAATCCCTAGAGATATAAACTAGTATCGGAAAATCTAGAACTAAATTTAATCAAACGAGAAATTCAGAAATGTATTGGATACTAAGGTGCTATACATAAAATTATAATTTAAATTTACATATACTTTTCGTCTACGAACATAGACGTCTACAAAACTACAGGAACTGTAAGGATACAATGAAAAAACATGATAAACTTAAACTGATATTATACTTTTTAAGCGTATTTGTGTATTGGATCCTTCAAGATATGCTTGCATGGTGTTATGGTTTTATTAAAATATAAATTTAAAATTCTAAAACGTCCAATTCGTTTCACTTGAATATTAACCTTAAATCAATTAACTACAATAAGTGAAATAATTGCGTTACATTCACTTTATTTATATGTTAGGTACCTATGTTTAAAATAATTTGTGATTTAGTTTTTATGCTGACCCAATTCGGTGAGTTGATTGGTAAAAATGTATAATTGCACTTATTTATGGGTTAAACGTTAATTATTAGAAATGTTTGATTAAATATTAGAAAGCAAAAATTAAAGATTTTTTAGGCTATCAACGAAATATACGCTGATTTATGTAGTATTATAACAAACATAATATTAGTAGTTTCAAATTTATAAAATGTTTAATTTTAATTTATCTAATCAGTTAACATGTTTAACTTTTACTAAACATAAATTCAACATGAAATATACAAAATTTGAAACTATCTAAATAACGATAAATTTTTTTATATTATACCGTAAAAGTACCTAAGTCTGAATGGTCAAATTTAATGAATTTTTAAAATCAATTCAATTGTGAAAAATTAACTCAAAAGTTAATTATAAATATTAATTTTATTTTTTTCTCTATTAACTAGATAATTTTAAACGTTTAAACTAAATTAATTCAGATTAACTAATATTTTTATTTTCAACCTTGTTATTGTTGGGTACATAGTAGATAATATGTGGATTTAGTTTGATTATAGTATAGAATTATTGAACATGAATTGATAAGTTATTGAAGAACAAACAAGAAACTGTCAAAGTTAAAGGCTTAAAATAAATTTAATTTTACATCATATTAACTTATTTACTCACTCGTTAATACCTATCTAGTAGGACATTATTTCATATGATGGCGTTAAAACAGTTTGAAATTAAATCGTTTTGAAACTAAAACTAATTTATGTCATTTAAACACTTTAAAACGATTTAAACATCAAATCACTTTCAAAATTAAAACGCTTGCTCTAAATGTGTAGTCTAAGAAATTAAATACGTTTAAAACTGTTAATCAATTAAACATATAATCAATATTTATAATCCGTGTTTTCAAAAACTTTATCATTTTATCGCTATTTGTTGGCGTGTTGGCAATTATTATAACGCGTTGTTTTAAAAAGTCTCTTAATCTCGATTAATTTTTTATGTTTCATCAAATCCTTTGATGGAAAGTAGGTGTGTATAATGTATATTGGAATCGATAATTTACAATTTAACAAAATTATAAATTAAATCAGTTAAAAAATATCTATTAACCAGTTTTTATATCCATTGTCATAAGTGGACATATTAATATTTGATCTATAATGGATATAATATAGACATTCAGCTAAACCATCTTAATAAATTTAAAAATAATTTAATTTAAAACCATTTTAACAACACGTTAAAAACTATTTTGATATGGCGTATCTTTTTAAAAAAATAATACAACTTAACACTAAACCATTTTCGTTTAGACAATAATATTGGTTTTTTAAAGTTTTTCATAAAATTAACAAATTATTTTAGGATCATTTATCTAGATGAAATTAAAAATAAGTAAATAGTTTAAATGTTTAACACTGGTCATAGATGATAATAAATGATATGGCATGTTCATATCAGTTGTGTATATTAATAGTTACGTGCACGAATAAAGAAGAGCGACAGTAATAATATTATCAATGTCCTACTCGCCAATAAATTTACTTTTCTTCCATGAATTGTTTCGTTTTTCATTGCGTATATTGAGACGTGATTGCATACTTTAATGTTGTGCGAACCTAAGTATCCAGCAACGCCTATTAACAAATAAAGTCTCATCATTGTGTAGGAATTATCTATGTTGCGAGTAAAAAATATCAATACAGCTAATTGACATGCACGTGTTCTTCGTATTATCATATAATTATATAGTATTTGGACGTTAGGAATAACAATGGACGCAAAAGGACCGGAAGTGGAGTAATCGTGGACGAAAAATGTCCAGGGCGCCATTAACGTGTTTCTTTTTTTTTAACCGGGCACGTGCCTAAAATAACAATTTTTCGTACTGCAAACAATTTACTCGAGAGTGCGTACACTGGGTGATGGGACTTAGTCATCACTCACGTTACTCGGTTGCCAACACAGTTATTATTATTATTTTTAATTTACACGAAACTTAAAATATCAATACTTACGCGCCGTTGAACAAAATTATATAATACAAATATAAAATTATGAATATAATGTAGGTATTCGAATGATAAAATACACATTTAAAAAATCAATTTATATTAACTCTATGAATAATGAAAAAAAAGCCGAACGTACATTCGCTCTATGGAAACGGGCTACTGTGTAGTAGATGGAAAGTTTAAAAGGTTTGTATATGGTAATTTAATTTGAGTGCTGAAAGTAACGATAAACCTCTGTATTAGTAATTTTTTTTCCTTGTATTCCAAAAATCAAAAAAAATTAAATTAGTTTTTTAAATTGTATAAAAACAACTGTTATGAATTTGTTTGCAAAATATAAAGTATACTACCGGGATGAAAATCTGCATCATTTTGGGCAGGTAATGAAAAATCGGAGAATTTTCACCAACCCTAAAAATTTTTTCCAAGAAAAAAAAAACATAATTATATCTTGGTAAAACTAATTTTGCTTCGTAAGTAAACTTAGGATTAAAAATATGGACAATAAAAACATTTACATATCATAATTATTATTTCATCGTAAAAATAACATTTTGAAAATAAATAATTTTAATGAAATACATTTTTTTTTACCTATATGAATATAAGAAAAATGGATAATCATGTGTGAATCATAAAAAAGGCGATTTTCCTACGCGTATTGAACCTTTTAAAAATGCCGCTTATATGCTTGTTTATAGTTTTAAGTAGTAGGTACCTATACTCATATACTTTTTTTTAATAAACAGAAAGAACAGCTCGAATGCAGTAAGAACTGCATAAAGAACTGTATGGCACTTGGGACATTCGCAGTGTACACTCGACGATTGTATACGCTTTGTTCTTTATAACAGCGCGGTTCTTAAACTTTTATATATCATAGTTGATAGACTCCTTGAAGTCACGAACCAGCAGCAGCCTCCTCCGGGTAGTTTTATATCAAACGAATACTTAATCGGTTTTTGTTTCTTTTTTCTTTCACTTTTTTTTTTTTTTTTTTAAATAGAAATTACCCGTCATTAATATTTTTTTTATTGGAATATTTTGACATAAAACTAAAAATTGTTTTTTTTCAAATTTTGTTTGTGTAAGATTATTTAATATCGACGTGAAACTCTTCGGTTATCGATCATAGTAATTATATAAACTTCTCTACGAATAAACAATTGCGTCTTTGGGTCACAAATAACACTTTTTCACAGTGTTGAGAATTATGTAAATACATTTCTTTTTTTTTATCTGATCTGGAAACAATTCTTGATATCTATTTGAGGGTTAACTAAGGTAAAAATAATTGTTTTCTTAAAATTATAACACATTAAATAACTGTATAAGTTTTAGTTTTTGTTTAACCTCGAATTAAAAAGTCACTACTTAAAAATGTATTTTCTTTAAATTAACCAAATTTGTTTTGACCTTTATTTCCCTGCTATAATATCATCGAAAATAGACTATTAAAAACGAAATGTATCTTTACTTCATCTAAATGATTTAGACTCTTCTATTATTTTATCCAAAATAATTTAAATATTTGTTATCTTTATCTGTTTCTAGGTAATATTTGAGCAATTATAACTTTCATCTTGACATAGATTGTTCGACTTACCTGCGTCCTATTACTTCGATTTCTATCACTTTTATATTTTTGGATTTTCGGCAAAATGTCATTTTCAACCATATAACTTAACATCATAATACCAACAATGCAGTCACTATATTCACTCGTCGTTATTATTTGTATAATACTGTAATAATATGATACGCTTGTGCACTCGCGTATGGTGTCCCGTCCCGATGGAAGTCGCCGTATAAATTTTCCCTGCACGCGCGTTTCGACCCCGAATTTCGTATACTACTGTCCCGTCAGTGGCGCGGCGGGTCTGTCCGGTCCAATAACTAATGGACAATACGACCGGGCCCCCGGGCTTTTCCGCGCCCCCAGACAGATTTACCACGACCGCGGTTCCGGGCAAACAAAATATCCGCCTCCTAAACCTAACCCATAACCACGCGTTCCGAGCCGGGGAAGGACGGGGCGTGGAAGAAGCGCATCCGTGGACGGAATTTAAATGGCAACACGAGGACCGCGTCCCGATCCCAGAAATCGAGTAGCGCCCGGGTCTTATAAAAATTAAAAAACTAAACTAGGTCAAATTAATTTTGTCTCCTAACTGGTGGAATTATCTTTTATGTATCATATTATATGTACCGTAGTGGTTTATAAAGCTGGCTGCACACCAAGGAAACTAGTTTCATGACTACCGCAAACTGGTAAAACTAAAATGTAAAATGGATGAGGTGCCAATGCTAATTATGATCACAAAGAACGATTAGAATAAACGTTATGTTCAATAGGACATCTAGAAATTAATTAATATTAATAAATGTGGATTACGAATAAAATAACATAATAATACTGTAGAAAACATATTCAAATGTAAAACAAAATAACTATGTTAATAGTAATAAATCTTATACTATAAAATATAATAGAATAAAATATAAAATCCAACGAAACTTTAACTCTAAGACGGGCTGTATACCTAGGAAACTATTTTCGTCAAAAAAATTTCATAAAACTAGTTTTATGATAATTGCCACATTACAATAAATCTAAAATTTCAAAGTTTCAAATACGCCGAGGAAGAAGTGTTACGCTAATTGTCACAAAAAATGGTAAAATAAACCCTGCCTAGTGATATTAGGGATATACTGTTTATAAATCGATTAATATTTTAAAATAATATATTCTTAATAATAATTCGCTTGAATTTAAAAAACATACAAAACATAAAATATGAATAATTTATAAGCATATGAAACCTGATGGGACCATAGCTACAAGCTGTGCAATTTTAAAATCGTGATATTCTGGATGATATTTATGTTTAAATAAATGGCTTTAAAAAACTTAATTTTCACGTTTAATGAAACTAGTTTCTTAAATTAAACCAAATTAACTATAACTGTGTGTTATAAAACTAATAATGATTAATGAGCAATTGAGTATGTTTTGTTTTTTTAAACTGTAAAACGTGTATGCGATTTACCAACAACTCGTTAATTGTCAAATTTGTGTGTGATAAACCCAGTTCACATTGTCGAATTTGTTCGAAAAATGATTCAGACCGTCAAATGTTATATCGAAATAACAATAGTTTATTGTTATTACTTAGGAGTGTTTGGTCAAATCTATGGCCGCTATTTATACCATGCTCATACAATAAATTGTAGCTGTTGTCGTTTTATGTACAATAATAACGAACTTTTTTATCTATTAATTTAACAATTAGAAATTTGACGAAAAGTGAACATATTTTAGGAATAGTTCTGAAATATTTCACTATATTATAATATGTAAATAATTTGTGAAAATATCTGACCGTAATTGTTTACTGTTGTTCCTCATCTCAATAAAACAAAAAGGCGTAATTAATAAATTTATCGAACTAATACTATAGTTTTATCAGGAATTGTATCGGTGGAAAAAACGTTAGGTACAAACTATATTAATGCTATTTTACTAACGATATTAATATCACGAGTGAATTTACAATATGGGCCAATATGTATAACATAGCTAAATTGAAAATCAATATTGTAACACTACTCCATTTTTGGAGACTATCACATTTTCGTGTGCGGTTTGAATAGGTATTAGTGCTCAATCTTCACGGTATATTGTCAACAAATTATTTATATAATACTCGTTATTGTTTCCGAAATACATGGATCGATGAATATAATATTGTAGTTCTAATAATCACTTGCCATCCGAATTTAATTTACAACAACTAGCCTTCGCTAATTCGATACAGTGTCTTCCGTGAAAATCATATTAATACATGAGTAATAATATTAATAATATTAATCGGAGTTTGTATACAGCCAAAAAAAACACGAATCAATTAGAAAATGTATTAACTAGAAAAAATTTTCTTTCATAAAATGTGGTACACTTTATATATTGAAGCACGATTACTTTTCGAATAGTTGTTTACAGACAGAAAAAAAAAAAACATTGTTAAACCAATACGCTACCCTAACTTACACTAATAAAACCAATACAAATCTGTACACCTTTATTATATACACTTAATTCTATATTAGACATAATTTTCGTAGTTCGTATTCAAAATCCATTATTCAAATGTGAGTAACCGTACATAGACATAATTCGATACAATATTTTATTTTAAATTTATCGTCGCTTCTTTTTTTGAAACTACAATAATTTCATCTGGAGGTTTTTCTTTTAGCAGGCATTTCTCTACGGTCTACGGCTATCGGTGCTAATACTAAGTACATACATGCGTGATAACTACTAATCTTATTATTATACAATTGTTAAGAACACGAACATTTTTCCTAGGAGTATTAGATCACTTGATTGAATACTGATTTAGAAATCGTCTTTACGTTTTAGCACCTGGAATATATAGACTTAAAATACACCTGGAGCATATGAGTCTTTGTAGATTAGTAGAAAAGTTTAGGATGAGAATTTTTTAAGAAATAAGATAAAACGACTTAGGATCAATTCACGTAATAAAAAACACAAAGTTTTGGGGTTAACATTGATTTTCTCTGGCAGTCAAATTCTTTAATGTTATTTGTATTAGAATCACACTTTTAACTACAGCAGCTAGATAGTTCAATATAATATCAATGAATGTACAAATATCGACTGAGGAAAAAAAATCTTACTCATTAATAGACAGTACTCTGATCAATATCCCTAGAAACTGTATACAGATCATTCTAATGCACATTCTGATGATTTTAATGCACAAAATAGAAAGGAAGAGACTTTAAGTCCATAATAGTCCATCAAATAACAATGGATATAGACTCATTTGACCGAATAAAAACCTTCACAATTGTACACGGACAACATTTAATGGATAGAACCGTTAATCAACTAGATCATTTTATACCTATTAACATAAGATTTACAATTGAAAATATATATGTAAGAAGTTTTCGTTGAACAAACAATGATACAGATTATTTCTTATGATAGGAACAATTTAAAACAAGCTAAAAAAGAAACAACAGATCCCAAGAAAAGAAAAATTATAGAAAGTTCTTTGATGTACAAAATCTAAATGAGCCTGATACTAGTGTTTTCAGAAAAACGTTTCGAAGAAGAAATAAGATATCAACCACAAATATGGAATTGTGGGAAGATGTAAATTCTATGGAAAAAGATGAAGATTGAAGGGAAAAAAACAGCGGAATTAACAATTAGAGGAATAATTTAAATCAAAAAATCTTGGTTCACTTTAATTTACGATGAAGCAATAAAAACAAAAAGAATGGTAAGAAATGAATGGTTAGACGACACAGAAAATGTAGAAATTATTACAAGATACAGATCTAGACAAAGAGAGGCAAGTTATATACTCAGAGGTGAGAAAAATAAATGAAGACAAAAATATAGCAAAGGAAGCAAAAGGTTAAATCTGTAATAAGAAATTGCACTACTTAACGTTACTTATAAAATACTGACTAATAGGGCTGAGAAAAATATATGATAAGCCAAAAAAAGGACTAGTAGATGATGTTTACCCCATCTTTAAGTGGTCGAATATAAATTCAGATGAACGAGATTTAAACTAAAATAAGAACCAGGATTTAAGCAGAAAACAAATGTTTTTTTTTTTATTTTAAAAAGATACTTAAGTTAAAAATGCTACCCAAAAGTGAAGAAGATAAAACTTTAACGAACCTTAATAAGATCTTTAGTAATGAATGAAAGCAAAACGTGAACAACGGACAAAGTACAGATAAATAACTTTCTAGTATTCGAGCGAAAAGTCTATAGGTAAATATTCGGCCCTTGCTTGGAGTAGAAAATATAAAAAAACAAAGAAATAATGGAACTCTATCGATACTCTAGAATAGTAAGCGAAATAAATAAAAAAACGAAGCTTACGGAGGGAAGGTCATGTCTGGCGCAAAGTAGAATCTTTTATACATGAGGCGGTTTTCGTGATTAATCCGACCCAAAACACTGCAGTGTGCGTGAAGCTGAACTTGACCTGATGCACTACCAGCTACAAGTAGGAAAATATATATATACGCTGAACGATTTTTGGAATTTGATTTCATAATAATTTGTGTGAAGTTAAATGAATTCCGATCTAAATTAAGTGAGACTGATTTTATATTCCACATGCTTAACCGTTGATATGTTGAACGCAGTCAGTGTCGGCGACATACTGAACATGACTTGGTTTTTTAGTTTCATATTTTAATAAACAAATAAATATAAATAGTTCATCCTGCCATGATTTATCGTCACCCTTATTGTTAGGGGTAAAACTGTTATATCCATTTTCGATTTTAATTTTAAAAAAGCAACCGTCAAAAAATTTCATAAATATATGAAGTTTTAGTTTGAATAAATTTTGGTGTTGACATTTTTAATATTCATCGACTCAATAACAAGGTATTTCGCTTTTAATTTTGGGTTGCGGGAGATTAGTTTAGCACTATTCAAACGCCACTTTCCAAAATATGATGCTCAACTACTTCCCTTTTATCCGAACTTAAAAGTGTGATATTTCGTCAGCGGAACGATCAAACTTGAAAACGACCACACCATAATATTTAAATTCTCCTATTTGTGGAATCTGAATAATATAGGTTGCTATTTTAAAATCAAGTTGATTGTGGTTCAGCCTCGTGAAAAAATGGTGGGAAAAACAACGGAAATAGACCGTTTTAGAACTTATTGTTTCGTACATTTTCTAAAAAATGTACTTTTCGAAATACCGAGTGTCTTATCGAGGAATGATCGCCTATATTTTACAGACGGTTGGCCTACTGCTGTTTTAATAATAATTTTGGTAAAAAATATTATTATTATTATTATTATATTATAGGTACCTATACAAGCATCGATTATTATGGTTCCGAACAAGTGCCGTGCGTAAACATTCCGTAATGTCCCTGTCGCTACGACGCCGTAAAATATTCTCTTATGCGGGTCGTATTATCACCGTTATCGTCATTACCGTTATTGCGGATCGTTACACGAAAAAAACGCATGCCAACACAATGTTGTATACTTACAATACTAAACGAGTAAATATAGAGTACAGCTATATACATACGTTGGTAATAGAAAAAATTATGTTTTAGGCCTTAATTTTCATTCGTGGCCACCAATTGAGGAAAAGGAAAAAAATTACAAAAAAAACCAAAATTGGACCCCTCGTAATTCACCAACTAGATACACGTTTAAATTTCGTAGCGAGATTTCCGGTAGAAAAACAAAATCGTGTCGTACATGTGTACTAATAAAAATAATTTAAATTGTAACAAGGGACTAAAGGGATCATTAGAGTGGACGTTTCGGTCAAGAAGACCATTAATAAGTTCAGTGTTGTAAAATAATTAATATTGACGAAGTTTCTTATTGTTTTCGTAATGATGAATAACTATTATTATTATTTTCGTATGGCCTTTATACCCGTAAAGCATTTTATAAAAAACAGGCAAATTAGAACAAGCCAACAATTAACCACGTAGAAAAAATCAAAATATAGAACAAAAATATATAAAATATGAATATATATATATATATATACACAAATAAACACAAAATATAACGGACGCCCTAGGTTTTTCCTCGGTACTGCGTAGCGTAACCGGCCATTCAATTGGCCTTGTCCATCGCTGCGTTTATCTCAGCTAAGTGTCCACGGAACTTCCTCTTTGCACACTCGGTTACTACCGTAGTTTGCTTGTCCGCACCACAATCGCATTTAGAATCTACCTGGATTCGCCAATCAATACAATAAATACTTGCACCGACCTTGGCCGGTGCGTACGCGGTTCGGCCCGGTCCGCGGCCTTCGGGGAAAATCCGACCCGGATGGTTTGATATCAATATCGTTCACTGAGAATCCGTTAGTCGTGGATTGCCACATTTCCGTTCTTTTTTTTCCAATGGTCCGGCCGGACGAACCCACGATCTCTTCTTGGTTTTACTCTTGCGAGGAATCGGTGACGGAACACGTGTCTAGACACTCTGGTTCCATCCTCGTGGATTTACAATGCTGGATTGTACAGTGTTTTGTTCACAATTCGCAATAACAGTATTCTGCCGACGGAAATGTGGCGGTCCGATGTCGGTCAAAACCGGAAGCCACCGTAGTTTTATTCTTTCGTTGCGAATGTAGTGTCACATATTTAATGCAGTTTTACTACATAACTATTGTAATTAATTGAGTGCCTACCGAAAGTGAATAAACAACTTAATTTCACTTATTATTATAATATTATAATGTTTCGTACACGAAATTTTTTCATATGATGTGATATTAATATATTGTTATACCATAACGGCGGATGGTCTGAAATATTTGACGTCCTTAAACTGCAATCATCATTACTATCCTTTCAATATATAAAATATTTAAAATACCTAAATCAATTACAGAAAAGCAATTACGCAAACGTCTAAAATCATACTGATGAAAAATCGTTTGAAATTATTTGTTCGCTTTTCGTTATCATTTAAAACTATGTGCACACAGTAATGCGGTATAGTATTATAGTGTGTAAAAATGTAGCAAATTGAATGAATGAATAAATTTAAAAAAAAAAAGATAGTAATATTCCGTCAACAATTTATCATTGTCATCATTCTTTATTTCGTTATAAATGTATATTTATACGTGTGTGTGTGTGTGTCTGTACGTATTATTATATCGGAATAAGTGCAGCAAGCCAGCGAAATTTCATAGCATATGATTATAGTTAAATATAGTCATTTTAAACGTTAATAATATTTTTTGAAAAGTGCATACAAGTTTATAGAAAGGGTACATTTACATGTTACATAATTAAAAAAAAAAAAAATTTAGTAAGATTAAAAAGATTAAAGTATTTAACGCGTTTGAATCAATTGACGAGTGTGTAGTATAACTATGTACAATGTACAGTACATGCACCGACCTATGTATATATATAAATATAATATTTTATTATAAATGGACGGAATCTCCTGAATTACTTTTCATATTATAATAGGCACATGTGTGCATACAGAACGATATTAAAAATATTGTGTACCGCACTTTTTGCACATGCTTCAACTATTATTTAAAATTAAAAATAAATACTATTAATTAAAGTCATTTATAAAGTGGAGAGTGTGCTGTGAGTTTAAAGAAGTAAATCCGATTTATATACCTAGTTCGACAGTAATTCGAAAATGGCATGCTGATTAAAATTAATCATTTTTGCAAAATACATAAAATATAAAAATTAAACACATCAAGGTTAATTTTGAAAATAATAATCGATAATGGGATATTGTACATTTTTCTCAACGGCCGGTCAATCGACAATCATACGGCATGAATGAACGCCATTTTCGATCAGTATGTTATTCGATTGTATCCGGCAGAATATTTTACAAAACAGTAGTAAAAAGTCCATTACTTTTATTGTTTACAGCACATTTACGTTGTGCACGCACTTAACTATTCTGAGTGTTCAAATAACAATATCATCTCGAATAGATGAATTCAGAATTTCTTTTGAATTGCTATTCAAAGTAACCGTCTTATAATAAATGAGTCTTTCGATCTCATTATATCACATTTTTGAACATTTTAACCATAATTTTATCCATTTTGAACTAAACAAAATCAATATATAAAATCAATAAAAATTAATTCCCCGATATACCATAACTAGATGAATCACGCTTTGTGTTGATTATTGAAACAAAACTTACTGTTAAGTAAAAAAAAAAAAACAATCGATAAACTAATAAAAAAAGATGGACATACTTCGCACCACGGGCAGGCCGCTGTTGTAGGTGTGAAAAGTTGGGTAGGAAAGGATACAGAGAGGAATTACATTTATTTCTGTACACAACGATTAATCATTGCTAACGAAACATGATTCTGAGCGGAGCTCGTTCAATAGTATTACTTTTCAAACAATGTGCGTTTTCAAGATAACGATTTTTTTTTTAAAAAAAAAAAAAAAAGGCTAAACAATAAAAACTTAATAATACCCAAAAATAAATAAAAAAAATGAAGAATAATAAACTTTTTTTTTTAAAACTTTTAATCTTTTTATGCCAAAAGAACCAGTTTTTTTCTCATTATCTCAAATATTGATGAAAATCTCAAATATTGATGAAAAACTCAAAAAAATGACTTCCCTAATGTACTGAACTAGAGTCAAAATGCAACAAAATAATTATAATAATGATAGTGAGGGATACACTTTTTCTAATGAAAAATGCGCCAATAATTTATTTTCGTAACTTATGTAAAGTGAATTATGCATTTTTCAGATTATTTACAGTATAATAAGCAATAAATCGGTTATCGTTGAATATTATCCTCAAACAAAACAGTGAAAAAAATGTTTAATGTTCGTAAAAGGTTGCTGTTGCAGGAACTGATGCATTTTAAAAACTTTTTCGGTTTTTTAAAAATATTTAAATAATTGAATAACTCGATAATAATCAAATCTTATATAAATATAACTTATAACACAAAAGCATAGTTTATAAAAAAAATTCTAAATAATATTATAATAATATATTAATACATCAAGGTCTCGTTGTTTATTTAATTATCTTGAATAATGCGGAAAAACTGTTGCCTGAGCAACTTACAACACTAATGGTTGAAATTGTGTGTATAAGGTAGAATCCACTATAGGTACAGAATAATGACTTTTGTTTGAAAAATTTACTATAACATAACGTTTAAAAAAAAAAAACACGATTAAACGATACTTAAGTTGATTTAATCGTTTAATAGTTTTAAATTTATAAAAAGAAATAATGATCCTTATTGAACGCGTATCTTCTAATATAGATGACGGAAAAATAAGTATATATCATTTTATTAATTTTTTTTTTTGTTTTGCGAACCAAAATATCGTGTATTTCATTGAACTGTTTAAAATAAAATAAATTATTATTGTGTAAGGTAAGGATCTCTATAAAAATTTTTAAATAATTTATATAATTGTATATCACAACCAGTGTTGACACGGTGTCACTGTATTGTGTGATTAAGATAAAGATAATTGATATGGTTTACACGATTGAGATGCGTGAGCGAGCGACGTGCGTCTGCGGCCGCATATTCACCATACTTCACATAAAACAAAACCAGGTCGCTTGTTATGTTATACCGCCGGTATCAAAATATATGTTGTTAAATAAGTGATCTTATCAATACAATTTCTAACCTCTAATGTTGTGGCACAAACGTGAGTTAACACGTCACATCTTAATCAGAGGTTATCAAATTTAAATCGATCTCTTTGTCCAAATTATTGTTTGCGTTTTTTTCCCTCGAATTTCCCCATATTTCCTTCGTGATATGAGTTTGATATCAAATAAAAAATCTATATAATATGTATTATCCATTAAACTCCAGTTGTGTAATGAATTTTGGAAAAACGGTTTGCGATAGATCCAAAATATTTTGCATGTAAAGTCTGAGTTCACTCAGTCCTTACAAAAATGGACACGGAAATGTATATCTGTTTAAACGGTTTAACTCTATCTCAAACCATTTTGTCCCACAATCGAGATCCAGTTTTGTAATGAACGAATAATTAATAAATATTTAAATGTACATATTTTGTTTGAATTAATGAAGTATTCAATATTAACATTAAATAGTTTCTAAAATTTTAAAATCTGGATGTTATAACTGATGGAAAAAGGAATGTAGTTTTATCTAATTTGTCCGAAACCAGCGAGGCTCACCACAATATTTTACTCGTATATCATATCAATTATAACGTGGTATGTATTGTTTCAAATAGATATAAACTATTTTTTACTTACTATAATTCCAACTTTACTTTTTTTACAAAATGTTAAATATTTTTAAATTATGGGATATTACCACAATATATTCAATGTATAAATGAGCGCATTTAAAATTGTATAAATCTAGCATTTTCTAGAATAAGAAGGTGAACAAAGGGGGCTTTTTGTTTTTCCTTAGACAATTGATAATCATGCATCATGGGTTGTGTGGTTTTTTTGTGACGATGTTTTTCATCAAAACCTAAATAATAATTTCACAATAACCATGTATACTGCACACACGGGATATTCATTTTTAAACAAATTTCCAAAAGAACATTTTACAACCTGTTGGACTGAATCCACATGAATATCGAGTCTTCATACAATTTAGTAGCTATATAGGTAAGTACTTCTATTGTGTTGGCTCTGAACTCGCGTCAATATATTTTCTAAACATCATCGTAATAGTATTATAAAACAGAATTTTTGGCAACAGTTAGCCGTATAATATAACCATAACTCATATTATATATACCTTTGCATAATATTAATACTAAACGGTAAACTCTATAAAACGGCCAATGGTCGAATAAAATAAATTCATCTTGAATATGAGATGCCACGCGCTTTTGCCGATAAATTAAATAAATTATTGTAAAACGTTAAAGAGAACGAATTCGTTTGTTTTTACTTTTTTCAATTGGAATGCATCGACGACTAACTTAAATAAAGGTTAGTTCTGTGTATTTTACGACATTAAATTTGTAGTTTTTAATTCGAATATTTAAACATTCCACGCAAATTAAATTCGTGTATAGGTATTACACATTGTTTTTTTTTTTTAATGACATTAAAACAAATCGTTTCTGTCAATAGTTCATTATTATACGATTCAAGGATACATATTGAAACATATCATTGTCAAATTTTTATTTTATAATAGTTCTACAGTTTGGCGGCAGTTTCTAGAGGTTTACTTATATTCATTAATAATTACTTTTGTTGTCCGTACCCTTTAAATTTTTTGCAAAGACAAGTGAAAAACATAAAGCGATTACTGAACTGCATAAGCTGTTTTAAGAATCAAAATCTAAAATAATAAATAGTTTCACTCCCAAAAAATAATAGTGACAAAAATTAATAATAATGTATTATTTTCTATCCTATTCTTAAAATGTCAAAAAAAAATTATTTTTTCAAATGGCTCACCTGTATCAATTCAACCAAATAAACTTTTGCTTTCAAATTCAATGCTCTCGTTGAAGTACCATACAAATATTATAGGTATATAAATTAAAACTATTTGGTAGGAATAAATAGTTAATAAATTTACCATAATATAGTTTTTATTTGCATTTATTTTGATGTACTGAAATAGTAACAAGTTCGTCTAGATCTCACAAGAGACGATATAATACTTGACTGACTGACTGTGCTTTCCCGACGACCAAAGAACTAGATATGTTAATTGTACTGGTACATATTTTCTGTTAAATTTATCGTAGATTAATATTTTTTTTTTTTTAGAAAATTTGCAATCTATATATAAAATTAACCTAATAAAAACACTAACAAATTTTTAAATTTTATTTTTTCAAACACCTATATGTTAAATTGTATTCTTAATAATTGTTGGGCAATCGGTTACTATATCACGTTAAAAGTGTTATTAAGTTAAATATTGAAATATAAAATTAATCAAATGCAATAAAATTTGATTAATTGCGCAATGAATTGAAGTTTAAATGAGAGGTTCACTCGATTTTTAATCGGTAAAAAAAATTTAGCTTTTGAAAAAACTGCAGTAAAATTTACCTAACCGATACATTTATCCGGGAAAAATTACCGAGACCACATCTCTAGTGACGTCAAATTTCTGAAATTTTATATTCAGAAAGATATTTCAAGAAGAAATGTCTAAAATGTCTGGAATTTTGTACTCAGCTTACAATTTTACATTTATCTTAGACATATTATTAAAACTAGTATTAAACTAGTATAAAACTAGTACTAATTTAAAATTGTTTTCCTAAATTTAAATATAAGTTTATTTATTCTATTATGTTTAACAAGCAGGGCTTGAAATCGGAAAAATTTATTTCGATTTCAATTTAAATTTCGTTAATCGATATTAATTTTTACTAATTTAAATTTAAATTAAATTAGTTAAATTAATTAAAATTAAAAAAAAAAAAAAAAATTTTAATTTCAATATCGGTATTAGTTTTTTCTGATTTTAATTTCAATTTAGCTAATAGTATAATGGGATTTTCTAGGTACCTACAAATATTAGATTAAAATAACATCGAGATACCGTATTTATATATGAACACTATTATTATGCTGAGATGCATAAAAACCGTTCTGTAAACTATTGGTTCCATAATCTATCTGATCCGGAGATGAAAAATTGAAATCGAAATAAAAATGTCCACTAGTTTTAAAGAACATAACTCGAACAACCTATACGGTTGTTCGGTGTACCATATGCATCAGCATATGTTATATGGTCATACTTTTACCAGTGTTAAAATACGTTATCGATAATTTTTTAAAGGCCGTTATAAGAGATACGGTTTCACAGCATTGCTAACTTACTGTCATGCAATTAATATAAACAAAAACAAATTTAGATATTTGTGATGTTTTTTTTTTTTTTGATTTCTTACTTACATCACTGACATAGGTGCTGTATAATAGTCACCGTTTAAATTATTTTAAGATTAGATTTTGAACCTTTGTCGACAATAGATAGCGGTGTCTATTATATGCAACGTTATTTATTAAATACAATTTTATAGGAATTGTAAGCATAAGTGATGCGACATAATTCCGGTTAATCCAAAAATCTAAGTTTCAAAATTATAGTATTTAGACAAAAAAAGACAAAAATACCAATTTTGAACTTCAGTATACGAGAATTTCAATTTTGGGTTTCAGAATTTACAATTAATATTTATTTTGAATTGTATAAAAACGCCTATAAGAGTCCAAAACCAAAGTTAAAATCCAAAGTCCTGATTTTAAATAAAGATTTTTTTTCACCACTTAATAAAGGCTAAAAGCACGATACACCGTAAGTTATTAGTATTATAATATTATTACTATATTACTGCGTATATAAAAT